CTGATAGGAACAAGACATTCAACCGGGAAAAACGAGTGGAGCAGTGCAGCGTTGCAGTACCTAAAGGAAGCATGAACCACAGAGGACACATTTTTTAAGTCACCTTTGATTCCGGAGCAGAATGCTTACTGATGAAAGAAAAGCTAAGTACTAAGTTTTCTGGTAAATGATTAAATAATATTGTTATGTTAAAAGGCATAGGCAGTAATGGAATATGTTGTACTGTACAAGTTTTAAGTAACGTTCAGATTGATGACAATTTAATTGAGATTTTGTTTCATGTAATAGGCGATGATCACATGCAAAACAATATCGTGAAATACTAGGGTTTTTATATTGTCATTTCATCAAACAAATTTACAATTTCAAGATCCAAAATAATTATTATAATAATATCATTGTTGGCAAGGTACTCAGGTTGTTTTATAAAAGGCATTCCATGTACTAAGGTTAAAGTTGGCGAAATGAAAATTAGATTGATTGATCCAAGAAAAACAGTTAAAAGAAAACCATAAAGATTAAGTCCATGCGAGCGAGAGAGAAAATTGAGGAGCTGTTGAGGTGTTATATTATAAGACCAAGCTGTTCACCTTATGCAACCCATATAATGTTGGTAAAAAATAAAAATGGTTCGGATAGACTCTGCGTTGACTATAAAGAGCTAAATTCAAACACAGTCGCTGATAAATACCAGCTGCCACTAATACAGGATCAAAAAGATAGACTTCGAGTAGTTAATTATTTTACCTGTTTAGATATGGCCAGTGGATACTACCAAATTCCTTTGCATGCGGATTCTATTGAGTACACAGCGTTTGTGACGCCAGATGGCCAGTACGAGTTTCTGTCTATGCCATTAGGGCTTAAAAACGCGCCTGCTGTTTTTCAACGCTTAGTAATGCAGGCGCTAGGGGATTTAGCAAATTCTTATGGTATCGTCTACATGGATGATATCATGATAACTGCCACAACACAATGCGACGCGTTTGAAAGATTTGAGATTGGTTTAAATGTTCTGACAGAGGCTGGGCTTTCATTTAACATTACAAAGGTTCTTTCCTGAAAACCTCCCCAACCCTCAGAAAATTATAGCGTTAACTGCCTCCACAGTCTGTAACAGCACTTAGACAATTTATTGGATTGCCATCGTTCTTCCGGCAGTTTATAAAGGGCTTTTCAGAGTTGATGAAACCGTTATATTTCTTAGTTTCAGACAAAAATAAATTTATTTGGAAAGCAGAACATCCGTATATGTTATACGGAAACAAGTTATTCCTGTACTTACCGATGAGCCAGTCCTTGTGATTTTTGACCCTATTTATCCAATTGATTTACATACAGATGCAAGTGGCAGTGGTTACGGTGCAATTTTATTACACAAAATTAATAACAAACCACAGGTAATAGAATATTATAGCAAAACTACTTCACCTGCAGAGTCAAGATATCACTCGTATGAGGTGGAAACTTTAGCGGTTGTAAACTCAATTAAACATTTTCGACATTACTTGTTGGGCAGGAACCTTACTGTTTTTACCGACTAACTCATTGAAGGCGTCACGAAATAAATCTGACCCCTAGAGCAGAGCGTTGGTGGGCTTTTTTACAGTCATTTACATTCGATATTCAGTACAGAGAAGGGAAAAGAATGGCACTGTTGACTTTTTGTCGAGAAATCCTATCTCACCAGGGACCACTTTGGCTCCAAAGGTAATTGAGGAGAAGAGAGTTAAGTTGGCCGAAAATTTAAGTAATTGGCTCATTGATGAACAGCGTCGAGATTCAGACATAGCCGAAATCGTGACTAAATTAAAAGATTTTTCTCTTGATGAAGATATTGCGAAAACATATGAACTAAGGGCAGAGGTTCTTCACCGAAAAATACAGAGGAATGGCAGAACCCGCTGTTTACCGGTGGTGCCGTGCTTTCAGATGGTCCGTTATAAACCAAGTTTATGAGTCGATAATGCATTTAGGTTTCAAACAGACACTGGATAAAGTTTACGATTTTTACTGGTTTGACAATATTTCAAAATACATCAAAAAATTTGTTGACAACTGCATCACTTGCAAAATGTCTAAATCAATTTCAGGAAAAATTAAGGTTGAACTGCATCCAATCCCAAAAGTAAATATTCCTTGGCACACAATCCACATCGACATAACAGGGGAATTAAGCGGCAAGAGTGACCAGAAAGAGTATGTTATTGTTCAAGTTGACGCGCTTACCAAATATGTCTATCTTAGTCATACCCTTAAATTGGACAGGCATACAGGCTGTTAAGTCCGCTGTTTCGTTGTTTGGAGTACCAAACCGAATAATAGCTGACCAGGGAAAGTGTTTTACTGGAGCAAAGTTTAGTGAATTTTGTTCAGATCACAAAATAAACTTGCACTTGATTGCCACCGGTACTAGTAGAGCTAATGGCCAAGTGGAACGAACAATGAGCACGATGAAAAATATGTTAACGGCGGCTGAAACGGGAACACAGTTTTGGCAGGATGTGCTAGGAGAGGTTCAGCTAGCAATTAATTGTACAACTAATCGTGTGACGAAGGCAAGTCCTCTGGAAATGTTATTGTGAAAAGTAGCACGGCCATTAGGATTACTTCCACCTAGTGACGTAGAAAATGATGTAGATCTATCGAACGTTAGAGCACAAGCTGAAGAAAATGTTTTAGTTACTGCAGTGTATGATAAAGATCGGTTTGATAAAAGTAAGGCGAAAGTACGCAGACACAATGTTGGAGATTTTGTATTACTTAAAAACGAGGAAAGGCATTAAACCAAGCTGAGTCCAAAATGCAAGGGGCCTTTTAAAATTACACAGGTTCTAGAGGGTGACAGGTACATTTTAAAGTCATTAACTAGTAAACGAACTTACAAGTATGCTCACGAAGATTAAAGAATGCTTAATGTGTGTGATGATTATAATAATGTTGAGACCGAAAATGAAATTATTTAGAATGTTGAAGTTGCTCAAGAAAGTGAAGTGCCCAAAAGATGTAGTACTGCTGGCCAAAAGGAAATGGCAGAGTACTTGAATCATGTATTGCAAGCACAGAAATTAAATTGAAAAAAAAAATAATAAGAAAGCATCTGTTGTAAGAGAAAGTAATGAAATGATGAAAAGAGACAGTATCGTGGCCTGAGTGGACGATAAAGAGATTCGTAATATTAATGTAAGCACAAGTGCAGAACAAACTAATGTTTGTTTTGATCATGGCGTGTGGTGCATTAGATATGAGAATGGATGAACTGAGTAAAAGAATTGGCTTAAAAATAAGTACGTTTTTTTGAGATTGAAACATAATTCTTGAAGCCCTGATTTGTTAATGAAACCCAAACAGAATGATAAAGTTTATGTTAAGTTATGTCTTAAGGACATCATTAATGAGTTTACATAAAGTAAGAAATGAAAATTTGATTTCGTTGTGGAAATATTTGCTTAAGTTGTAACAACAAAAAGTTTTTAAAAAAAAAATAGAAATAAAAAGAGAGCAAAAGAGAAACTAAAACTTCAGTCTTTTATATTATAGAGTCAGTATGGCCGTGTCGGCGATTGGTATATCTCAGCGTATAAGGAATGCTAGTTTCTTGGAATGCTTGTGTTTCACAGAAGCTCGAATTATTTCATCATCTTATCTTTTGCATCTTTGCAATATCATTGTTTCTCTCGAACTCGCCTTGCAAGGTACCGTTAGAACAGTTGCCTGTGCGGCGCTACAAAAAGTTTGGCACGACACACAGCTGCGTTGCCGGCTTCGTAGAATTTGTCTTGTCCCTTTTGATAGGAACCGTTATAGCGAGGCGTCAGCGATGTTGTTGTTCCCGTGTGAGGTTCGCAGGAACAGAATAGGCAGTTACAAGAACTAATAGTCAGTCTCTGTAGATCGACGCCTGTGTTCAGACCGAAACGCACTCCGCTCTAATGGAACCCGAAAATAATTCGACATATACTTAAACATGAAGAAGTTTAGTTTTTATCTTCATCGAAAATATGGAAAAGAAATTATATCTTTGTGAAGGATTGTGGTGGTCGTGTAAAACATAAATCCACGTGTTTTATGTACTTTAGGTTCGCATCAAAAGTTTTGGCGAATTCTAAAATATTTGTTTAACATTTAGCCCAACTGTGTGGCGTCTAGTTGCCTTCCTAGCGCTCCATGAACAATTCCTTCAAATGCGCCCAGCTCATTCCAGTAAAACAACTTTTAAATAGCCATTGCGATGCACTACTTGCAGTTTTCGGTGTTAAACGTTGGTAACACTTCGGAAACAGTACGCTTGCCAGGCGACTGTGATACTTTCAATAGTTCTGCAATCACTCTACTTTGGGTTTCTAGAAGCGTGCGCCAGCTATTCTTCTTGCAGGGGTGGTGATCGCACTTCTGATGTCGGAGATTATTATTAATATTATTACTTCCGTTTTTCTTAGTGTACTGTGCAGCGAGACCCAATGATTTCACTCCACACGTTCGTCTGTTCTCTATGAAGGGCTAAATCGAACTGCTCTGCTCTCCTTCGCTCAATTTTCTCTACCTATCATTGCGCCACGCTTAGCAGGGATTTCGCTTTCCTTTCCCACCGCGCTTTCAAACAAAAGCTTTATACACTGAGAGACTTAAAAATTACAATAAAATCTAATGTTTCAAAATAATCTCCAAGAAATATATATTATATATATATATAACATATATATATAAATAAGATAAATTATATATTTATTGTAAAGCTATGGATATTTTATAAAATACTATACTTAAGTATGCGATATGTCCAATAAGAACAGAAAGATATTTGGCGACCCTAAACACAGAAGAAGAAAAACATTTTTCGTCGGAACTGTGCCAATTTACACGCATGCTTAAAACTGGTAAGTAATATCATTTAAAAACGATTTAACTCCTGACGAAATTAATATTACAACTATTATATTTAAGATATTTTTTTTCAAAAAACAATAATGTAAGAAATGTTCTTTTCCGATTCGTTCTAGGATATCCAAAACAAACTTAACATTGCGCATAAAACAATAAACAAATATTTAAGTACACCATTGGCCATTGCAAAGGTTGATGTAATTGCTTTACCTGAACTAATTACAATTCGATTTGCTAGTGCATGTGGAATACTGATAGTGAGGTACAAAGTTTATTTCTTGCTATTAAATATTTAATTCAATAATAATATATTGATCATTTTAGAGAGTCTGAATTATTAAAAAATAATGTTTTCGCCGTATCTCGGGAACTTGTTTATCAGTGGATTGGAATATGGATAACACCCGATTGGTGGACTGATGACCATGTTAATAAAGCGCTAATTAATTATATAGCATCAGAAATCGTGTTTGAAGTAAGTTATTTTATATATATATTTTTATATTATAATATTTCTTATATAAGAAATCGTAAATCAAATGCCAAATTTTTACAGATAAATGGCGGAGTAGAGTTTAATGGAAAATACCCCATGACGATTCTTTACTCATTGTATTATGAGTTAAGCAAGAGGTATCCCCACTCGCGATTAACAGGAATGAAGCACGAGTCCACGTCTATTAAAATTGAGCTCATTATTCGAATGCTTAGACTCTCTTTAGGAGAGAAGACATTTAAAATCGGAATTCATCGATTTATTAACGATTTTAAATGTAAAACATATAAATCCTCTGACTTTTGGAATGCACTTTCCAAACAAGCACAAGAAGATGAAGTGCTTGACAGTTCTTTTAGTATATTGGATATTGCTGAGTCTTGGGTAAACCTGGATCGGCTGCCACTCATCACTATTAAAAGAGACTACAATTCAGGAACTGCAAGTATACATCAAAAGGTGTATCTTAGGGAAAGGCCTCATGATGTACCCGATCAAGAAAAAATGCTTTGGTGGATCCCTATTGCGTTAGCCCGGGAAGACACTTTAAGCTTCGTTAAATATTGTCCATGCATATGGATGAATAGGACAAAGCAATTGCAAATTTCTAATATGCCAATCAAGAATATGTTCATAATTGCTAACCCAGAGGAAATCGGTCCATTCCCTGTTAACTATGATCAACAAAATTGGAATATGTTGTCGATTTTTCTAAGGACAGAAGCCAAAAGAGAATCTATACCAATATATACAAGGTACATAAATGTTTAATCCTATACTATTGTAGATTATTTTTTTATAATGATTTCGGTCAGAAATTGCAACGCAATGAAGGAGACATTTCCGTCCACATAACGTATATATATTATTGATCAGCTATGCCTGTGTGTCCGTCCGTCTGTACGTATGTACGCTTAGACGTTCTCCGTCTTAAAGCTGTCCTGATAAAATCTTCCCCAAAGTCTTATTTATATTGCAGGTACTATATAAGTCAGAACGAGTTGGATCGGACAACTATATCTCTTAGCTCCCATAGAAATAATCAAAACATAATTTTTAAAAAATTAAAAAAAATATAGTTTTGGTATTTAAACCCGATACTCGTATACTTAAAGGGTATACTAGATTCGTCGGAAGGTATGTAACAGGCAGAAGAAAGCATTTCCGACCCCATAAAGTATATATATTCTTGATCAGGATCACTACCCGAGTCGATCTAGCTATGTCCGTCTGTCCCTATGAACGCTGAGATCTCGGAAAATATAAGGGACTATAAGTATAGGCGATCTAGCCGTGTCCGTCTCTCAGTTTTAAAGCCTTCCAAAGGTTTTATTTATAACACTTACTACTTGTTGATGAACGCATTGCAGCCGTTATTTAATTTTGAATCTTATTCTCTTTGGTATATGAAATACTAACTTTTGCCTTTTTAATGTATTTTGGTGCTGCGTCACACTTTAGAGATTTTTTAGGACTTAGTGTTAAGACTACAACGGAAAGCATCGGACACACAAGAAATGTGACAAATTTAATCATTGAAATACAGTTCAATCAAATTGGGAAATAAAACGTTTTTATTCTACACCATATCTTTGGTCCTTCTAGCCAAATTTAGTTACTGATTAAGATCAGTTTAAACTTTTGAAGGCAGCTAGAAGTCGTGCAAAGGCAAGCATTACGCGTTTGCTAACGGCGTCTCAAGATCCACGTGCGGGATCAAAACGGGAGCTTGATAAACTACAAGTTTCATTGGAAAGGCTCAACATCATCTGGAAAGAATTCGAGTCCATCAGCGACCAAATGCTCCTTTTTGACGAAGAGGAAGGGTACGTCGATCCAGCCATCGACAACGAAAGGTACGAGGACAAGTACTTGCAAGCGAGCACATTATTTCGCAACCTCATACGCACCTGTGAAGAATCTCAGGAGAATGAAAGAGAAGGCAATAACTTCAGATAAGCTGGCAACCCTGATGAGGCCGCACCAATGGCATCAGGAGTGGGAAACGAAAACCTAGTTCGTTTTCTAGAACAACAGCAGCATCTCAACGAGCGTTTGGCTGAGCAACAAGCAACGCTTTTAAGGGCAAACTCGGCAGCAAATGTAATGCATAATGAACTGCCAAAAATCCACAGCCATTCATTGGCGACTACAAGGAGTGGCCAGCCTTTAAAAACATCTTCGAGAGTACGATCCATAGCAAGCAGCATTTGACAGCAATACAAAAGTTGCACTACTTGAAAACGTACATCACTGGAGAAGCAGCTGACTTGATACGACATATGCCAATAACGGATGCAGCTTACGAGGCTGCTTGGACTTGCCTAATTGATCGGTACAATAGACCACGTCACATTGTTAACACTCTGCTGGAGACATTTGTTAACTTACCTTCGACCGCCAGAGCAGACGTAACGGTTGTGCGCAAGGTGACGGACGGAGCCAACGAAATTTTACGCGGCCTGGACGCAGCAGGGCAAACTAATAGGGACTGCTGGATTATACACTTCATCCTGGCCAAGATCGACGCGGAAACCCGTCGCAAATGGATCGAAGGAAGCCGGGAACTGGAATCTCCGTCTGTGGATGATCTACTCAAGTTTTTCGACCGACGTTGCGAGGAATTTGAGCTCAGCAAAAGTGACTCCGACATAGACTCCAAGGTTGGCCCACAACTTGTGGGAAGTGTAACTCCAAGGAGCACAAGATCTACGCCTGCTCAAAGTTTGGTGAATTGTCAATCGAGCAGAGACGCACATTTTTTAAGGCAAAATCACTGTGCTTTAACTGCCTGAAGCCTGGGCATGTGTCGCGAAAGTGTAAATCCAAATTCACATGCAAGTTTTGCCACTATCGTCACCACTCTCTGCTACATGCAGATATTCTTGGTTCGCAAGCCGCTGTCGCTTCGACACACTCACGAGATGATGAAAGGCACTTCCCAAGCGCTCCCGAAGATGCTACGGCTACCATCAGCCATATCGCACGGGCACAACTGGCTTCCACAGCTGAATCCTTGTGCAACGGATCAACAACCGCAACACAGCCACAAGGGCTGCAAAAAAGTGCATTGCCAACAGCTCCAGTATTCGTTAGAAACTCAACAGGATCGCACATTACCTGCCGGGCGCTCGAACTGGCACGCTCACCGTCACGAATTTTGGTGACCGGAATCTCGTCAATCAAGGCTGAGACAACTAGAGGCTGCAGCACACTGGACTTGCAGTCAAGGATCTCTGATCACACAATGAAGGTACGTGCTCACGTACTCAGCAAAATTACCTCCACGTTGGCAAGACACGATATCGCCGCCTCAGCACTCAAGGCATTCGCTGGCTTTGAGCTTGCGGATTCTGACTATCAATCGTTGGCGCCAGTTGATATACTTCTGGGCAGCGACTACGTTTGGACCGTGTTCACCGGTCAAAAGATGTTCGACAACCAGGGCAACATCATCGCCATTTCGACCATATTTGGATGGGTCATAACATCTATCGTTACTATCGGATGTTCATCTACAACAACAATGCACACGGCTATAGACATTGACGAATCGCTACGGCGCCTTTGGGAGCTGGAGGATGTCAACGAGGAATTCCATGGGAAACCAGAGGACGATGAAGTTGAACAGCACTTTGTGAAGACGCACACTCGGGACTCTAAGGGGCGTTACATCGTCGAACTTCCGTTCAAAACTCCAAGGAACAGTTTTCGGATACTTTACAGGGAGCGCTAAGAAGATTCAGGGGTGTAGAGCGACGCCTAAAGAAAGACCCCAATCTGCATTCACAGTACGTGCCATTTATGCGTGAGTATCTTCAGTTGGGCCCGCTGGGTATTCTGTCGCCAGTGGTAGTGCAGTTTAAAATTCTGTTTCAAGAATTGTGGCTACTCGATCTTAGCTGGGACACGGAGCTTCCTCCAAAAATTGCGGACTGGTGGAATAAATGTCGTAACGACCTACACATCCTCCGATCTACGCCTGCCACGGTTTGTCCAAAACAATAAAGATCACATCGAACTGCATGGATTTTCAGATGCCTCCATCAAGGCATATTCCGCAGTCATCTATAGCAGAGTGGTGCGAGCAGATGGGACCGTATCTGTTTCACTCATAGCAGGAAAAACCAGAGTTGCTCCGCTGAAGCAGCAGTCTCTACCGCGTCTCGAACTGAGCCGAATGTTCCTATCAGTCAAGGCTGTGCTACAACACAAGGACATTGAAGTACATGCATGGTGTGACTCAACAATAGTCTTGGATTGGCTTTCACATACACCATCTAAGCTTAAAACATTTGTAGCCAACAGAACCTCAGAAATACTCGAAGCCTTACCGCGCAACGCATGGCATCATATAAACACAAAGGAGAATCCGGCGGACTGCGCCACACGAGGAATGTTTGCTTCGGATCTTCTCCATTTCGACTTATGGTGGATGGGACCTTAATGGCTGCAAGATCCAGAAACGCTTGCGGTAAAGTTGACCTCTAAAAAGTTCTGTTCTTCCCTTTTAGAAAACCATGGAAAAGAGGAAGTGAAGACCACCGCATTAGCCGCACAGGAAACCTCCTCATTGTCACCAATCAAAGCTTTGACTCAACGCGTCTCGTCCTGGACAAAGCTGGTACGCGTTGTAGCTTACGCATTACGCTACATCCAAAAGACCAAGGCCATTAAATCTGCAACGCTGGCAAATGGAAAGATGCTCACCTTTGAGGAGATTCATGCTGCTCGCATTCTTTGCCTGCAAGAGGCTCAGAAATGTTTCATGGAAGACCGCAAACTACTGACGGAAAACAAGCCACTTCACAGCCGCTCCCAGTTGGTGAAGCTCTCGCCGATTATCTGCAAGGATGGCCTTCTTCGAGTTGGTGGACGACTGGACAACTCACAATTACCAGCTTATGTAAAACACCCTATACTGCTTCCCAAGTCGAACCGCATCACAAGAATGATTTTGGAACACGAGCATACGACAAATCTTCATCCAGGAGTTTCTACAATTTTTGTAATTGTTCGTCAAAAGTACTGGATCTTTGGTGCGTGCAACCTGATAAGAAATCTGGTTCACAACTGCATCAAATGTTTTCGCCAACGTAAACTCACGGAGCACCAATTCATGGCCGATCTACCAGGCATCCGTATAACAGAAGCTTTACCCTTCCAGCACTCAGGCTGCGATTACGCTGGACCATTTATTCTAAATGAAAGGAGAGGGTGCAATCCCCGAAAAACTAAGGGCTACATATGCCTCTTTGTCTGCCTTGTAACATCAGCCATACATTTGGAACTGGCCACCGATCTTAGCACAGACACATTCCTGGCATGTTTTTGGCGTTTCATGTCCCTTTGAGGAAAATGCTCACAGATCTTCAGCGACAACATGACGAATTTTGTTGGTGCCAAACGGGCATTAGATGAGATGCAGCAACTATTATCTTCGCAGGAGCATCAACGCAATCTAGCACAATCGCTGGCCGATGATGAAATCAAATGGAGTTTTATACCTCCCCAATCGCCACATTGGGGAGGGAAGTGGGAGTCATCAGTACGTTCCGTTAAACTACATCTGCGTCCTCGTCAAGGACTTAAATCTCCCTCCAGCAGCTTGGATACTAGCTCGTGTAGTGTACTATAGCTCCTATTACTATTACTTACTAATATAGCTCCCATAGGATTAATCAAAACTAAAAAATGTAAAAAAAATTATACTTTGGTGTTTTTTGACATATAAACTTCTACTTTTGGGGATATC